TAGCATTTTCTTGATCTTTTTTATTTTAAATTTTTAATTTTACTTGATCAGATGATTTTATGGGAATACGTTCGCTACTATTTACAGGTTCTTCTCTAAAATACTAACTTTAACTTTATTTAGACAATGCAAATCCCAATTGACTATCCGAAAGCAACTATACAACTTCCTAAAAAACATATAACGCATGAAAGTCTTCGAGAAAGCCATATAAGTATCTTAAATATTCCTTGCGTTACACCTAACTACACACTGTAAGGTACTGCATTGCTACTGAGGCCACAGTGCCTAATTAAACTCGATAAGATCCTTGCACTGTTGCTTGCACTGCCACCGCAGCCACAGATCTTATTGCTTCTTTATATGAAACCTATGAAACCTTTCTACCGTATAGGCTCGGAATAACGTGCAAGGGCGTTATTTCAAATTCGGCCCGAATTAAGCTTAATTTAGGCTGAAATTTGAAATAATGCCCCTGCGCGTTATTTCGAGTCTATACGGACAAATTGAATTATAACAAAGAAAAAGATAATCCCATGCTTCAATGCCTAGAAATCATATAATCGTACCCCGAATTTCTTAAATATTCACTAACTACAGAATTAATGATCATCATATGAGTGCCGCCAAGGGAAAACCTGTCATAGGACTTTCAATTACGTATATCTATTACGTATTATGATAGATTTTCAACAAACGGCTAACTGTAATTGAAAGTCTGATGACAGGATTCCCTTGGCGGCACTCATGAAGTTAACTCAAAATCCTGCATATACAAGGAACTGTCTAGACTAAATGGCAACAATCTATAAAAGGCTAACCAAAAACAATGATTGACAATAAAGTCATTAGCTTTGCCACTTCATTGACATGCTCCACAATCTATAAACATTACATATTATTTTTAGCATTTTTTAATGGGTTCGCCAGGGCGGCCCCCAAAAGTGCGGGACACATGATCTGAACCATTGCCACAGTCTTCTCAATAACCAGTAGTATATTGTTTTGTTGCATAAATTGGGTTAAAAATTTTTTACAATAATAAAGCTGCATGCGGAAGCTAGATTCAACTATTTTTTAAGAAATTATGCAGTGGTTGTGGCGTCTAATCATCTGATCCGCACTTTTGGGGGCCGTCCTTGTGAACTCTTTTTTAATTATCAGCCTACTGACCTTATTATACTTCAAAAATATGAAAAAGAAATTTCTCCTGACATGGCTATTGACAAGTTTTTGAAAGTATATATGTATAGGTAATAAACCTTTATCAACTACTTATGTATCGAATAAGTTTGTAACAGGATTTTTTGCAGTAATACATGAAAGAACCCAAAATTCCCAATGCAAACTAAGGGACACTTCAAGAACACGGAACCCAGTGATCATCACATCACGTGGAAGCGTGAAGTTACGTCATTTATTTACCAGCACTAAACAAATTAGCCTAAACTAACCTATCACCTAACCCTAACACTAACCCTAACATAGGCCGAACACTTAATAATGTGATGTAATGATCACGAATATATCACTGTTCTTGAAAATACCCTAACTTAAAATAGAAATCACAATAATTTAATTCAAATTTAAGTTTTTTGACTAAATTGTTACAGTAACTCATAATAGAAATCACGATAATTCTAATGCAAGCTGTCTAATTTCAACTACGTACTGTAGTCACTAAATAGTAAATTAGTCTGTAACAGGATTTCTAAAATACTTACGATAGAAATAACAATATTTCTGATATTAACCAACTCAATCTTGACTACATATTATGTGTCAAGTAAGTTTTTCAGCAAAATTTTTTACAATAGCTCATGATAAAAATTCAATACAAACTGACTTAAACCATGGCCATTGGGAATAGCGAGTAAGTTCTTTTTCATAACTCATGATAGAAATTACAATAATTTCTATATAAATTGACTTACCTTACCATATTATTAAGTTCCGTAATACGATATTTTACAATAACCCACGATAAAAAATCATGATAGTTCCAATACGCATTATATATCACTGGAATAACAAGTTTTATACCAAATTTTTTTTTACAGTAACCGATAATAAAAATTACACTAATTCTAATACAAACTATCTCAGCCACAGAATAACGAATAAGTTTTGTAACAGAATTTTTTTACAGTAAATTACAGTACAATAGGAATCATGATAATTCCGATATAGGCTAACTTAACCTTGATTACATACTATAGGTCACTGGAATAGCGAATAAGTTTTAGTAACTCACAATCCAATGCAACTAACTCAACTTTAATCACTTATAGTGGTTACTAGAATAACAAGTAAGTTTCATAAGAGTTTTTATAATAACTCATGGTAAAAATACAATAATTCCAATGCAACGAACTCAATTTTAATTATATACTATATGTTTTTACTAGTGATAGGCAAATGCAGATTTTTCAATTCATGCACATAAATGCGTACAGATGTGTAAAATAATAATAATAATAATAATAAAAAGTAATATAAATCTTAATGAGAAAAATGCACATAAACTTATTCCCATGTTATTGCAACAGTAAGTTTTTTATAATAAAATATTTTATAGTAACCGTGATAGAAATTACAATTGTTAATTTAATACAGATTAACTCAATCATAACTTCTTAGAAGTCATGATAATTTGATACAAACTATATATTGTAGTTATCCGAATAATAATTTCTGTAACAAAAAACTTTTACGGTAACTCACGGTAGAAATCACGAAAACTTCAATGCAAACTAACTCGACCTTAATCTCATATCATAGTCATAAAATTGCAAGTAGGTCCTGTAATGATTTTTTATATTTGCTCATGATGGAAATCATGATAATTTCAATATAAACTTGCCACTGTGCATCGCATTAACAAGTAAATTATGTAGCAAATTTTTTACAGGAAATCACAAAAGGAATTATGATAATTCAAATACAAACTAACTCAACCTTAACTGTGTACTGTGCATCTTAGATAGCAAGTAAGGTTTATATCAGAATTTTTTACAATAACTCATGATAAAAATTATAATAATTTTAATACAAACAAACTCAACTTTAACCACATGACCCAAGCTACCGCCTATGCAAAATCATGTGTAATCCATATAAGTCTTGCCAGTTTGTAGTAATTTAAACCATATATAAAGTCGGCCTGCCTTATTTAATGTGGGAGATCACTAATAATACTATGCATCACAAATTCGCATTTCTATTCTGTTTTGTTTGTCACGTACCTATGTATGCTACCTATTCTCATTATTTTTAATAAAAACCATTCAGTTAATATTCAACACTATCAGCAGATTTATACAAATAGTATAAATAATGCTTTTGATAGTTTTACCATTATTAAATTTTTTATATATTTTACCTCTATACACGTGGCAATGCACATGCACAAAGCTAGTGTAATATAATTTTATAATTTTTTTTAATAAATTATAAATTATTATATTATTCTATATTACAGTAAAACCTCCATAAGTGCACCATCTATAAGTGCATATCCTCTCTAAATGCACGCTCAAGTTCTGGCTCAAATATACACATGCCTTCTATAAATGCACTTTCCCTTATTGATCTCTAAGTGCACGTTGTTAAAAGCTTAGTCTCAAGTGCGTGCACTTATAGAGGTTTTACTATTATATCCCATCATTGTTATCATGTTTGATAATTCTTTTTATAGATAGTAATGATATGGAAATATAATGAATATTACAAAAAGTTGTACATGTTTTATATAACAATACGTTCGATTGATCAAAAGCTTGAGTTTTCCTTTTTTACCGATATCAATTCTTTACGTTTTATTTATGTTAAAATTTCAATAAATTTTGAATTATAAATTTTGAATACGAGCTATTAAATAACATTTTAATATTGATCAATGGTCTGACGAACACTTTCAGTTTTAAAAAATTCACTTCAATTATTGTGTTTCTTTAAATCGTTATTTTCATATCTCTGGTGATAATATTTTTGAGAACGTTCAGCCTTATCCTAAAATTCTTGATCCAGCTTTATAGACTGATAATATGAAAAAATTTATGGCACAAAAATAAGGTGATTATCCACATTTTACCTAATGATTGGTGGAATCACTCGCAAGTTGATCCGTGGGTTGACTTGTGAGATGTAGATATAGTTTGGAACTTGAAGAAAGGAAATTATTAAGTTACATTACTGTTGTAAGCAAATATAGAATAACTGGAATAAATGTAGATTCGGAATCCGCATAAGTTGAATTCGGATCTTAAATAAATTTAAGGTCATAAAATTTTAAACGATTATTGGATAAGAATATTAGTAAATAAAAATTAAAATGAATAGCTTAACTACTATACGTTAAATACTATACGTTCTGAAATTAATCATCTTTTTTTTTTTTATTTGGAGCTAAATTTCAATTTGTTTTTAAGTGCAAATAAACTTTAAGATTTAATTGTATAAAAAGCAAAACTTAAATAAATCACCTCTATTAATGCAAGAGCGGAGAAGTAAAACCAATTTGATTCTACACAAAAAAGCAGTGGTGCTTAAATTAGAGAGTAGTGCATGTTAGTTTGATTAATAATTATTATTGTAATGTACACAACTAGCAAAGGCACAGATTTAAAGCAAGATTTAGATTTCTCGGGAGTTAATTTTTTTTTTAAATTGAATATTTGAAATGAACCATTCGCGTTTATTAAGACTTTATAAAGCTATTCTGGTTTATGAAGACTTGTATTAACCGTTACATTTATTGGTATCTGATTTGACAAGCGAAAAAAGTATTATTAATACAATTGCTATTAATAATTGTACAGGTTTCAAATTTGAAAAAAAATCAATATATTGTTATAAATAAAATATAAAAATAAATATATATTTTTAAAAATTATTGGACTGAGCAAAATATTATCAAATTTTATAATGCCACTAAAACTTCTACAGCCTTAAAACCAAATCAAAAAAAAAAGACCATTCAAAAATATTCAAGAAAGTGCTTATTGCATCTGTAGCATTTCTTTCATGACTTTTATCACATGTTTAGCAGTACCATAACTCGATTCGTACCCTTTAAAAATGTGAGAAATTGAGTTAATATAGAAATATAAAAGGTGTGTATATATGATGTTATTTACCAGCACCACCATGACCATAATTATGACAAATGAGAATTTTTTTGCCAAACTCTTCAGAGGCTAAACAATAAAAATTAGTAAGAATATGTTTATGATGAATTCAATTAAATGTTAATTGTAAAACTCATACACATACTGATCCATTCTGCATCGACCCTTACACCACCCTTACGACAGGGTCGGAGACCAGCTATGTAATCCTTTATAGTTAATTGAGTCTGATCTTTTGGCAAGAGATCGGGACGAACAGCAAGACATCGTTGAATAATTCTTTTAGCTTCGTCATAATCATTATCT